ACACACACACACACACACACACACACACACACACACACACACACACACACACACACACACACACACGCACGCACGCACGCACGCACGCACGCACGCCCGCACGCACGCACGCACGCGCGCGCGCGTGCCCGAGTACGGATACACGCACATACGTACAGAGAACAGCCACACAGAAACACACACATACATGGATATAAGCAAGAGCTAATAATAATATACTAGCTCTTGATATATAGTATAGTAACTCTGTTAGCAGTATGTATGGCGATACAAGTAGTACAATACATGTACTTTATTCAGCGCTGAATAATGGTAATGAGTAATTACTATTATTTTTTAATTAGGGTATAGGAAATTCGTAAACAACGTGTGTCCTTACCATAAACCCAATTATTAACACAACAATTGCGCGTAGCTGCCACAGACCATTTCAAGAGAGATGCCGGCATGGTACAGAGAGTAGTCAAAATGGCGCACGACACACGTGTGATCGATATTCAGTAAAAAAGCCAGAACCATCAAGAAGTTTCTTAACCACCAGCCGCGGCCGTCTTAACCCCATCTTTATTCAAAAATTAAAATGCCCGGCAGCTCTATACAGAAGGATATATTGTTTAGGTAAAGATCTTGGTTCCATTGGAATTTTATCAAAGTGACTCAACTAGAACCTATACCTAACTTTAGGTAAAATAACATTTAAAAGAAACAACATCGAATTTCCGCAGAGTCACGCATTGTCGTAGTGCGTAACGCATGAACCCATTATTGTCGCAATTTCAGGAGTTGTTATGGATGAAAATATTTCCGCCCCGCTTTAGGCGATTACACCGACCACAGAGCGTCGGGGGAGGGGGGGGGCTTTTCTCAATGATTAACGCATTCGTTCAGGGCTAACCGCGAAAACTGGCCGCTAACCGCTTGGTTACCGGCGACAAGTTTTCTCGCTTACGTATTTTTTCCGATTTTATAAAGTGGATTAAAGTACGCGTTCGTCCAGCCCGTGCATGCGCGTCCCGCGTCAAGTAATTGATGCTCTGTATAGAGCCGTGTTGCGAAAGCAAAATCAATGTGCGTGCACGCGCCTGTACGCAAACATATATAAAGCTGTACGTACATACATAATAAACGCACGGGGAACGGGGAGAGCGCGACTTTGTTGACGAGATTTCGTTTTTCGCAGGTCCTACTTACTTTTCGCTCGGCGTAATACAACGCAGCCGAGTTACAAACGGGGAAGCGGCGCGCACTATAGGGGTGTTGCTATCCCCCGGGCGTGGAGGGACAGTCACGTGATACAGTTGACGTATACTTCAAAGTCCAAATCTTCCACAGAAAGATTCCACAGTCATACTTCCGTACTAGACATGGCCTTATATCCCTAACCCTAATCCTAACGCTAACCCTAACCCTTACCCTAACCCTGATCCTAACCCTAATCCTAACACTAGTGCTGCCACATTGCGGTACTGTCCCTCCACGCCCGGGGGATAGCATTTCCCGCACTATAGCATCTGTCCCGACATGCAAAGATATAAGATACAAGATATAAGATGCGAATGAATGAGATCGGTTATTCTATTGTTTCTCTGACGTTAAAGGTCGTTTCAATGACGTAACGTCAAGAGGCTTCACACAGTGATCGTTATGATAGTTATATAATAATATTCATGTGCACACGCGATGCATTTATCGCCGCGACGAGCGAGGATCGGCAAGTTGAAATTACCTCTGCTTACATTCCCGCCACAATAACTCGTCGAGTTTTATCGCTCACGTATTTTCCCCTCTCCCACTCCAATAAACCTCAACACAAATAATTCGCTGGTGACGTATTTACGGTTGTTGAAACATTGCATCAACAACTCAAATAATTCGCTGGTGACGTCTTTACGGTTGGTGAAACACTCTAACACTAACACTAACGCTAACTCTAACTCTAACTCCAACTCCAACTCTCACTCTAACGCTAACTCCAACGCTAACTCTGCAACTCTAACGCCAACTCTAACTCTAACGCTAAATCCAAGGCTAACTCGAACTCTAACTATAATCCTACTCTAACGCTTACTCTTTGCTGCCTGTGGTGATCGCAATGGTGAACTTATGAATCATACTCCACATTGACGCTCATAGGGTCTATGTCCCCCAGGGTACTATCGGAAGGTACCCTGGGTACGGTTCGATATATCAGAACGTACCCTGGTAACTATCTGATATGGTTAGGGTTAGGGTTAGGGTTAGGGTGTGAGGGTTACGGTTAGGGTTAGGGTTAGGGTTAGGGAGTAGGCGTAGGCGACTCCCTAGACTCGTTAGTGGAGTAGGCAAGGTATACGGTCCGGCATATTAGATAGTACCAGGGTACGTTCCGATTAATCGAACCGTACCCAGTGTACCCTCCGATAGTACCCTGGGGGACAAAGACCCTCTCAGCCACACTGACCACACACCACCGCAGTGAGTCAACGCTTTGACTGACGACTATTCTTGTGATACGCGTTTAAGTCAATGCTATCAGTAGTAAATATATCTTATCTTACTTCTGATACTATTAGGAGTGTCATAATATAGATTCATCTATATTAATGTGTGTATTATAATATCTATCTTTATATTATCTATGTACGAAATAACGACAATTAAACTGCTGTTGGTGTTGCTGTTTAGTGTTTACCTTTAACGAACCATGCTGCGTGTACATTTTACCAATTTGTTCGAGTAATTCGAACACACGCGTTAGAGGCATCCGGCTTCTGCTGTCCCCGCGAGCAAAACCTCAAAACGCCCCTATAATTAACGTTGTTAAGCACCACCTACAAAAACCTTTGCCGGATTAGAATTCGTCCAGATGAGACGGGATACTAGAGAAGCGTTGCCGGAAGGAGGTGTTGATCCCAAGCGCTATAAGCGCAGATCTTGCGCGCAATTCCGCGGCAAGGCGCACGCGACCGCGGGAACGTCCTACGACAGTATGCAGCGCTGGCAGCTATGGATCCGTGCGCCGAATGAATTGGCGGGCGCACGGATCCATAGTCGCCACTGTACAGTCAAGCATTAAGGTGTTAAATAGGCATTTTCCATTGACG